CAAAAGTCCGTCTTAATTTTTTTTTCTCCCATGTCCCCTGCGGGGCTCCGTAGTAAAGCGCTATACTAATACAGGCCATTTTACTAAGCAAAAGTATGTTCAGGAGCACAGACACACAACGTCCATGCGCACACACCTGTTCAGGAGGTTCTCCATCTCATACAGTCCCATCTGTATAGTCTGATCTCGCAGGGACTCGCCGATCATCAGAGCCACCCGGGCGTTCTCCTCCAGCATCTACCACCGTGACACACAAATCCACACAGCATAGTTATATAAAACACTCCGAGAAGTCCACACCAACTCTACCTTCAGTGGGGAACTTGAACTAAGTTTAATAGCAGAGAATGTGAGATCTTCGTTTCTGCCAGTGCATTTCCAAGAAGCACATAATTTCATTACATATAGAATCTGCAGGGTGTGGACAGGGATGAAGATCATCATTGTGATTACATTATCACGTGATTACATTATCCAGCTCCAAAACCAGAATCCACAGTCATGCTGCATGCGAGGATTGTAAGATACTCATTTAAGGGTTTATTAAAGAAACTTTCAAATGTGTAAAATTTGCTCCACGTCATGGATCTGTGATTGTATTTACCTGATGTTTTTATAGCACTGGTTACCTGTGTGATGATTGTGGGCAGGCTTGTTTGGTAGAAGCCCTCATGGTCTGTATCTGGCTCCTGGTCCCTCTGCCAGTCCTGCAGCTCCACCTGCAGAGCTTTGTGCATCCATTCAGATACACTCTTCTACAGCAGCAATGACACACACACACACACACACAGACTATGTGTACTTAATGCAACAGCACAGACAGTTTCAATATATAAAACATCTGTCTTCTGTATATGCAGACTGTATCCAGTGCTCACCCGAACACTCTGCACGTATTTGCTCTGCAGCTGCTCGAGTCCCTCTGTGGAGATTAGAGGCCTCAGCTCTTCTCTCTCCATCTCCGTCACCAGCTCAGGATGACCCATCATGTCCGGGCTGCCAAAACAAGACTGCCACGTTCAGATTTTAGTGGCTTAAATAGTCATTGTAATGAAGTATTAATGAACTCGCGGCTTCTTGTGACGTTAATGGCTGAACGTGGGTTTGAAGAGTTCAGCCAAAGGGTGGCGTTTCATGCTAATAAAAGTCCATAACTTCACAGTAATAACAAAACATAGTTGTGTGTCTCTTGATTCTTCTCTCGTCCAATCTTGTGATTAGCTCAAGATTAAAATCTTCCAAACTGCTGCTTAGAAATATCCTGAAAAACTCACTTTATGGTAACAGAGAAAGGATAGAATACAGATTCTGATCACGAGCCTCACCTGTTGTAGATGTGCAGCACCCAGTTGAGCACAGCGAAGATTTCACCGCTCTCCAGGTCCCAGCTGCTAACCTAGGCCACAAATATCACTTACATGTGGACAGTGATGGTGGTCGGTGTTTAAAACAACAGAAGAAGATAGATGTGTAGTATTCATGATGAGGTGGCGTTGTTCATTTCACCGACCTGTGTCAGGTGGGCGTGTAAACAGCGGTGGCTGGCCCTCAAGTAGGTTCCAGTCAGCTTGTAGTGTTGCGGGACGCAGTGCTCCAGCAGGTGGCGTACGGTGGCCAGGTCGGCCATGATGCCGTGCTGCAGTGCAGAGAGGTGACCCGCCAGACCCGGACCACGTGTGTGCAGATAGGAAACACTGCGAAACCGCGCCGCCACTGCCTCCTCTAGTACCTGGGAGTATGAGCGAACTGAGACATACGTTTGTATATTCAAAAGCAGAAACTTGGTAACGGTGTTTGTATCAGGTGCCGCTGACCTTGAAGAAGCACGCTCTCCAGCAGCGAGGTCGTCCAGGGGGTAGGGGCCTGCCGTTGCCTCCGCCGCCTCCCCTCTCCTCCAGCAGAGTTTGGTCCAGCGCCTCCTCCCGCTCCACAATCCTGACAGCGGATACGAACGGCGTGGGGTTTTGTCGGGCCAGCGCCAGAGCACTGCTCACCACCGCCCACAGCTCCTTCCCTGCAGCGCCAGGATGAATGTGGAGTATGAAGATATCAGGTTTCAACCGGCAGACTTTGTGCTTTCATCATCAGGACCACAGAAGCTGGGATTAAACATTTTATTAAAGCTGCTAATACCCAATGGCACTCTTTCCATGACACTGCTTTTTCTACACGCTTCTTTGATGTATTCTTGCTTTAGAAAAGTCAACTGTAAAGCTTATCGCATATCCTGGGTGCATATTAAATATCGCTGAATGTTATCATTTGTTTTCTTTTACAAATAAAGATTTTTTAAAGGTTTCTCTCCTGAACAAAACTGGTTGCTACAGCTGCAAATGCCTGAAGGTCAGTTATTTAAAACCATGTCTCAACAACTTTAAACAACTTTTTTACAGAAACATGTAAATCTGATTAACAGTGATGTGTTGTTAGGCTGCTAGTAGAGGAACTTTAACGAAAAATGATGGTTAAGCTTGAACAGATTTTCCCGTATCTTAATGAGTTCCTCACCCAGTGCATCGACCAGGTGCCGGACTCCAGAGAAATATTTGGCCACCACTTCCTGGTCTTCAGTGCTGAGTGCACCTCCTGCGGCCTTGTTGAGCTGCCACAGAATATCATCCTGCAAGTACTCCAGATCCATCAGCTTGGCATGGGCCTCCAACAGCCGCCGGGACTCCACCAGGCGCTCTGTCTCCATCACCATGCTACGCACTGGGCAATAGAGGGTAATGGTAAATGGACTTGTTCTTATATAGCGCTTTTCTACTCTGTCTGAGCGCTCAAAGCGCTTTATACAACTAATTCATTCACCCAATCACACAAGCACTTTTTTCTGACCTAAGTGCTAAGTAGTCTACCATTCATACACATTCACACTCCGATGGACGCATCGGAGAGCAACATGGGGTTAGTATCTTGCCCAAGGATATTTGGCATGCAGACTGGAGCAGCCT